GTAGGTTATGGAGGGTGTGCAGTTCCACTGTGTACTTCCACTGTGGCTTACAGTTGTGTGTACTTCGGGAAGTTCTCCAACGTGTTATCCTGGCCTGTGAGGACTGCAGAAGTGTCTGAGCAGTCATCTGCATCAGCAGTGGAGGTGTTTGGTGTCTTCAGCTATTCCCATTGTGGCTGCACTCTGATCTGGGTAGGGGAGTCACAGCCTGGAAGATGCATGTGCCTCGTTCTCCTGGTGGTGCTTTCTTGGCAGTTCATGGTTCACAGAGTGCTGATCTCACTGCCCTTATCCAAACTCTTTCATCAGACTACTTTAAAGTCTCCTTTCTATATTAATTAGCTAATGAAATAATCAACGAAGTTGTTGGTTAATTGGCTTTCATTTGTGGAAGTACTTCCAGAAAAGTCAGGAGAAATGGCATCTTTCAAAGTTTAAAAATGCGTTTCCTTGCCTGCAATGCTGGATTGCAGAAGGTGACTTCCTTCTAGACCAGATCAGAGTGAACAGGGCAGCAGTGTGAAAGGGGGTGGGATGTTTTTTGTCTGGCAGTCTGTCACAAATTGAGTGTGCATTCTCGGCTCACTCTCCGCAGGTAGAGGGGAAAGAACACAGTATTAGAAGTCAAGGACCAACGTTATCATCTCTCTCACTCAGATCTGTCACTCAGTGGCTGCCTCACCTAGGATGTCAATTCCTTGAGATTCACCTATAAAGTGGATATAAATCTACCCCACCTGGGTTTTTGGGATTAATTACGTGTATGAAAGTACTGTGTAAACTGCTGAGTGTGACTGTATAATCCGAATCCCAGGATGGGATGGGGATAGAGAACGAGGGAAGTCCTCCTAGAAGAACTAATAACTGAGCTGAATCATGGAGAATGAGGAAAGGAAAGGGGAACATTTTGGGCTAGGAGATCAACATAGCAAAGGTGACAAAAGGGCCTGGCCTATCTCACAACGTGGTCAGAGTTTGTAGAGCTGGATTTAAGAACTGAAGGAAGTGAGGGTGGGAGGAGGGACAGTGGACAAGATCAGGAAGCACCGTGCACACTCTCCCGTGGAGTCTGGACTCTTGATGGGTGTAGGAAAGAACAAAAGCATTTGAAGGGGAGAAGTGAGATCAGATTTGTATTTAGAAATCTTCCTTGGGTGGCAGAATTGCAGATAGACTGGAAGCAGTCAAGGCGAGGCAGACTCATTGGCCCCCTACTTCAACATTCACTATAGGCTCCCAGGGACCAAGAGAAAAGAAGCCCTGGCCCCCTGAGTCTGAATCTTCCTTTCCCCCAGATGTGGGGAGGGATAGTACCCTGACAGAGCGGGTGTGAGGGCATTCATTTTTCCAGTGCCCTTCTTTCTTGCAAGGCACATTGATTTCTGCCCAATGGTGGGCATCCTCCTGGCTTTCTAGGCACCTGCCCTTTGGGCTTTCTAGAGTTGGGTCCCGTGGGGTCCCCTCTGATGGCTGCTGCCAAGACTTTTGCTTGTTTCTCAGCTGATCTTTCTGCCATAGCAGTGGCCAAGTTTTGTTTTTCTGAATCCCTATTGTCAAACACCTTTTAAAGCCAGACTTACAGCTCTATTGTTCTCTGGAGCCAGGGGGTCGAATGGGGTGTAAACCCAGAAGGCCTCTCAGAGTCTCTCCAGGAATGCAGTGGGCGACTGACTCCTCTGGTGCCTGGGTAACTTCAGTGGTTTTTGACAGATTTATGGGTTTCCAAGCCGCTGCCTGGATCCTGTTGAACAAGTTCTGGTTCTGGTGAAAGTTGATCAGAGCCTTCTTCCCCCGTGAAGAGTTTGGGTCCCATTCAGGACTCTCTGAGGGGAAGCCTTGTTTCAGCAATTTGTGGGCCTCCTCCTCTGAACTCCCTCCCAATAAAAGCTTTCTAGCTTCAAACCTAATCCCGTCCCACTCCTCAGCAGTGAACGGGGTCGATAAAAACTGTTGATGGTCATCCCAGGTCAGTAGATGAGTCCTAAAGATTGACTTGAGCAGGGAAATCTGGACCTGGAGCTTCTCACAGAACGGTGGATTCTGGGTTTTCCGGTTGTAGAAGTCAGAAGTGGAAAAGGGAACACACACCAGGAATGGGCAGGTTCCTGGTCCTGCTCCATGAGGAGGTCGGACCTCCCTTAAAGGCAAGAGAGCCTCTGGACTGTGTTTTCCTGAGGGGGTGGCCTCCTGCTGGGATCAGAGATGCTCTCATATGAGGGAGAGGGAGAGGGAGAAGTAGAGGAAGAAATGAGCAAGTCGGAGGCAGGCGGGTTGGAGCGGACAGGAGAGGGGCGCGAACTAAGGTTATACAGAGGTGGATGGGGGGAGGACTGCCTCAGCATCTGACTGCTGCAGAACCAGTTTCTGTCTGTCTGGAGTTCGCCCGCAAGGGGTACAACAGCTTTTGGAAATGAGCAACTTTCAATAGGCCTTTGTGGTGCAGGCCTTTAGCCATGGAGGAGGATGCTGCACTAGGTTAAACCAGGAGTTGGTGTAAGGGAACTGATTGGGGTGTCCTGGTGACCTGGAAACAACTTCCAAACTGATTGAACCAGGCCAGGGGTCTAGGGAGCACTCAGAGGGCCAGCCAACACCAAATGAGGGCCACTCGAATTCGTAGAGTGCGAAGTTTGTTCTTTGACATTTTCACTCCATAATCATCAGAAAATCCTGAGGAAAAATTTCTAAGCATGCAGGTCAGGGGTGTGACAGGTTGTGAAGATGATGACCCATAGTAGAGAAACTTAGGGCAGGCAGGAGATGAAGAACAGATAAAGGAGAAGAAGACACAGGGGACATCTGGACATAGAGAAAAACTCCTAGTGCACCCTTGAATGATGTTGAGACAGACAAAGGAAGGGGGTGTTCCTCTGTGAGGAGGAACCACTCAGTTGGTCAGCTGGCTGCGTGCCTCTCAGCCACTTTAAGGACCATTCAGGCTTTAGGGTGTATTTATCTCATCACAAGAGCACCCGATTGGCCTTTCTTAGACAGGTCCATGGAATCATAGTATGACCTCCTTTAGACCCTGTAACTCCTAGGGGTAGAAATCCCCTTCTTCATTGTGGGGCACAGATGGGACAGCCTATAGCTTACACTTCCCATTTCCAGTCACTCATCAATTCATACAACAGCCATTCAGAGGTTAAAAACATTCCAAACCCTTCCCTGGGGATTTCCCAGATTGGCTGACTTGCAGCCAGATCAGACCAGACCAGTCCAGAGGGCCACCTCAGTCAGAGTCCTGACCTTAGGAGGGGCCTGGGGAATGCCTTTGCCAAGAACTATTGTTCCCCACCAGATTCAGAAGGATCCTTACCTTCAGACCAGAACAGATGGACTCCAGAAAATTTGGAGGGTGTCTCAGGCATCTCTGCAGTCCCCTCAGTGTCAGCAGTGAGATTATGGGGCCCTAGAACATCTCGGGGAGCACCTCCCCTATAGTTTGCTGCCACAGATGGGAGGGACCAGAGCAAGGCCAGTCCACCTGTTGTGGTGATCTTGCTGGGGCCTCCAGCTGTTCCACCTGAGCAAGTTGGAACTGTAGAGATGCACCGCAGTCTGAGCCAGATTTGAGTCCATTTTATTTACAGCTGGTGACCGAGAGAGGGCTAGTGTTCAGAAAATTCTCTCAGCACTGGGAAGCGGTTTGGTTTCTCCTTTTAAACCATGGTTTCAGTTGGGGAGGGCTCAAAGGGAGAGCAAGTGGAATTTTACAGAAGCAGAACCATGCCAGGTTAAAGGGGACAAGAGGAAGTTTCACATACTAGGTGAGCTACAAAGAAACAACTTGCAACTGCAGCAAGTGTTCTACCAAATGGGATGTGGGTTTTGGGTGCTTTGTCCAAGCACAAGCACACAGTGGTGGTGAGGCTCAAGATGGAGTTGGGTTGGCTCTCACACCTGTGCGTCTTTAGGTAAGAGCCGCATCTAGGCCGCCTACCAGGGGGGTGAGGGGGCAGGAAATTCCCCAGAGCCATATATCTAGGGCAGTGAGTGAGGTCCTGCTGGGTGCAGGGGTGGATCCGTGCTGTCAGAGGGATCAAGATCAGTTCTGGGAGGAATGTTCCTGCCTGACTGCTAAATATTATCAGGTTGGGTGCCCCACCAGTTGTCCTGTCATCTGATGTTGAATAGGGGCTAGGACACGGTGCTACCGTGTTGAATCTCACTGCATTGCAGAGTCATTCTTGGGGTGCTTTTTGTGTCATTTCAAAGGTTTGTAGTTGTATTCAGCAGGGAAGAGGGGGAAAAATAGATCTGTGTTCTCAGATAAGAAGTCCATGTTAATACAGCCTTCTACTAACACGGATGGTGTGACCCCCTCAACTAATTTATCTAAGTTGGCTTGGAAGATCCCCAACACAGCAGCAGTAACATTTACCTGTGTGCTGTAAGCCTTTTGAACACATGCCATCCCCCACTGAGGCCTGCCGCCACCTCCCCTACAAACTGTGTTCCCATAACAGCAGGAGTGAGAGTCACAGGATCCTGTTTTGTTGTACTTGCCTGTTACCTGCTGAAGTTCATAAGCATGGGTTGGATAACGAGGTAACTACCATCTAAATCCTGGCATGTGTTTATCATTCCATGTTAATTGGAATACCAGCGCTGCAGTGTTTGATTATTGATCATACGCCACCTGGCTTTGTCCTGATTATTTGGAGGCGCTCCAGCAATCTCAGCCTTAGTGATGTGACTTGCTGTGGATTTTGTAGCATGCTTTTATATGTTAAGATGTTGATTGCCTTCAATACATGTTCTTTGTTTCTTCTCAAATATACTGTATTTTAAAAGCCTCGGTAGAGTTAAATATGCTGTTTTTCAGGTCCGGGTAAGTATGACAGAAGGTAGGGACTGTGTTTTTCACAATGTATGTCACATAATTGGTGCTGAAATGTGAGTGCTTGAAATCAAGTCCCCATTTGTAGTTTTGTTGAAGAAACAAGTCCACACCAGACTCTTCCCATGAGTCAGGGAGCAGCAAGTGTGCCTGCACCTGAGGCCCGAGCCTCCAGGCACATGCTATCAATTCCACCTGACCTCCCTGCAGACACGGATCCAAGTGAGTAAGAGCTTCAGGACAGCAGCCCCAGAGTTCCTCCCTAAGCACAGAGATCCTCTTCCAGGCATGTTACGGAGTGCGGGTGCCCTGGTCACACACCCACAAAGCTGCCCTGGAGCACCTCTTCATAGGTTCCTCAGGCTGATTTACAGGTCACCTCACTGATCCGTGACTCGTGGAAAAATGAGTTCCCACCTGTGGGTATGTTGGGCATTTCACACAAAAAAATTTAACTTTCTGATGGGAGAAGATGTCATTTCAACTTAAATTTTAATTTCTTTGGTTGTTTGCAAGTGCACTGGAGATTTTCTGTTTCCTGCATTCTTGGAGGATGGTTTGAATTTGCTTGGATATTATCACCACAGCTCTTCTACATTCTGTTGACAGACTTCCATCTACTTTTTATAGGCTTTGCAAATTTGAGAGGTTTTGAAATTTATGGTAAATTGATGAATTTTAAAAAAATATTTTTATTCTTAATTATTTTATGATTCTCTGTTTATCAATTTTAGTCTTTTTCTGTGTGGAGTGTAAGATAATTTCAAATGTTATAGGTATATTCATGACTATTTTCCTTTGGGATACTCGGTCTGTTCTCATCCAGTGAATTTTCATATCAGACACTGTATTTTTATCTCTATAAATTTGATTTTGGTGTTTTAGCTCCTCAGTGTACATGGGCTTCCCTTTGCTGCCTTCTGAGCAGTAGAGTTGCAGTGCCTTACAATTTCTATTACTCAGGTTTGGTATTTGTTGTTTCCTGCTGTCTTTTTAAATGGAACATTGCATGTAATTCCACTTTTCTTAGAATATCAATTATACTTAAAAAGCTTGTAGTGGTTTTCCCATAGTGTATGATACACATTTTGAATTCTAAGTCTACGTTCATGTGACACAACCTCACCTCACTAATACTGGAGGTAATTACATAACTGAGGATTCTCGGGTCTTTCTGTCTGTCCCATGTGATACAACTGTCATTAATTTTACTTATCTATATCTTATAGTCATGGAACACATTGTAGCTGTTATTTTTTTAACAAGTTACATGAATAAGAAATATGTAAGATTTAATTTTAATTTTGTTTCTTCTCCAAAGTACTGACCTATCTTCAAGATCACTGATTCTTTCTCTTCCTGTGATGGATGAGTGTCCTAATTAGCCCATGAGAGATAGTCTTCATTTCTGTTGCTGTACTTTTTTTTCCTGCCATTTTCTTTTTTATTACTGTAAAATACACATGCAAAACTTAACATTTTGCCCATTATAAAGTGGATGACTCAGTGGCGCCAAGTATTCTCATTATTGTGCAAACATCACAGTTATCCGTGTTCAGAACTTTTTCATCATCCTAGAATGAAACTCTGTATCCATTGAGCAGTAACTTCTTATTCTCACAGCCCTGTTTCCCAGGTTCTGGTGATTACTAGTCAACTTTCTGTCTCTGAATTTTCCTATTTGAGGAACTGTACTTCAACTAAGTGGAAACATAGACTCTTTGTCCTTGATATCTGGCTTATTCACCTAACATCATGTTTTTAGCATTCATCATGCGCTTAATTGCTTCCATACAAAATTCACATGCTGTAGTCCTACCTCAGTTACCTCAGAATGTGACCCTATTTGGAGATAGGACTCTTGAAGGGCAACTGAGGCAAAATAAGGTCGTTTGGGTAGGCGTTATGCCAGTGGGACAGCTGTTCTTTTAAGAAGAGGAGATTAGAACAAAAACGCACAGAGGAAAAAACATGTAAAAGTGAGAGGGAAGACAGCTTTCAGTGAGCCAGGGAGGGAAGACTCACAAAAGAGTCCAGCTGATGTATATGAGTTTTTCTAGAACCAAGGTTTGAAAACACCAGTTTCTGTTGTTTAAGCCATCCAGTTTTTGCTAATTAATTGTGGCAGCCCTAGAAAATGAATGCATATGTTGGTAGTGAGAGTTAGACGCTGCTCAGCAAACACCTAAAAATATGGGGGCACCTTTGAACCTAGGAAACAGGTAGAGGCTGGAAGTTGTTGGTAGTAATCTGGACACTCAAAAGTGGTTCTGGTGAGTTCTCAGAAATGAGGAACCTGTCATTGGGACCTGAAGGGAAGTTGATCTTTGTTGTAAAGTGGCAAAGAACTTGGTTGAATTGAATTTTAGTATTTTGTAGAAAGTAGAATTTGTGGGGCAGGGGATTTAGCTCAGTGGTTCTGCTGCCTGCCTCGCAAGCGCAAGGTCCCGAGTTCGATCCCTGGCCCAAAACAATAATAATAAAAAAAGAAAGTAGAATGTGTAAGGAACAAACTTAGTTATTTAACTGATGACATTTCTTAAGCTAAATGTTGAAGGTACAGCATGGCTTCTCCTTGCTGCTTGAAATAAAATGAGAGAAGAGACAACTTGAGTATAATTTTTTAAGCCAAAACAAGCAGCATATTGAAGATTTAGGAAATTCTCAGCTTACCTATTATGCAACATAAAACAGAAAGCAGAAAACATATTCTGGATAACCATTCAGTCAAAAGTTTACAAGTGTGACTCCTGGATCCAATCAACTGTATCAGGAGAAGTGAGGGATAGAGTTCAGAGCGTAGTTCCATGGAGGTGCCTCTGACTTGCGGCTTGGACCCCTGTGAAGTGGTTGGGAGGCCAACAAGGTTTTTGAGTTGTTTTATGCAAGTAGAAACACTTCAGCTTAGACTGAAGAGAAGGAGGACAAGATGAAATGAAGGAAAGCTCTAGGACTTCAGGGATTCTACAGAACATGCCAGACCTGTTTCAGTGATCAGACATGTAATATCCTTCATGAGAAAGAGGAAAATGTCCCAAAGGTAGTTCAGAGAACAGCAGGGCTGCACAGCTACCATAAGCCCAGAAGGAGAATAACTGGAAAGTCAGGGCCAAGTCTGTCCTTTTCTTGAGCAGGCTGGGCTGATCTACTCCCCAAGGCCAAGGCATCAGAGCCACCAACCAGGGATGAGTGGGTATAGGTCCCACTGTGCTGGTCACAGAAGGCTGGACTAGGCCAGTGGTCTTAGAAGATTTAACAGTGGCCATCCTGTGTGTGTGTGTGTGTGTGTATATTCATTATCACTAAGCGTCAGAGAAATGCAAGTCCAAACCACCTGTTAGGATGGCTGCTGTGAAAAGTGGAAGGATCACAGGTGTTGGCAAGGGTTGGAGAAAAGGGAACTCTTTGGTGCTGTTGATGGGACTATCAGCTAGCACAGCCATTGGGGAGCACAATGTGAAGGTTCTTCCAAAACTAAGGAATAGAACTGCCAGATGATCTCCCAGCCTCATTGTTGGATATATATATATTTAAAGAAAATGAAGTCAATATGATGGAGAGGTATCTTTACTTCCATGTGCATTTCAGCATTATTTACAACAGCCAAGACATAAATAGATTCAAGTGTCCAACTGCATAAGAAGGGACATAGACAGTGTGATAGAATGGAACATTATTTAGTCTTAAAAAAGAAGGAAATCCCATCATGTACATCCCAACGTGGATGAACCTGAAGGAGGTTAGGTGAAATAAGCCATCCAGAGAGAGCACATAGTAAATGAGTTACTTTTATATGGAATCTATAAAAGCATAAAGTAGACCAGTGGTTCCCAGGGCCTAGGGGTGAGGAGGGGGGACTGCAGAGGCTGTCGTGAAAACATCGAGGTTCCAGTTATAGAGTATGAGTGAGTCCCAGAGATCTGATGCACTGCATAGTTCATGATCCTGTGTGGATACTAGAAGTTTGATAAGAGAGTGAACTTCAGCATTCCCACTACAGGTGCACCAGATAAAAAGGACAACTAGACGAGGTGATGGACCTTTTAACTAGCTTGGTAGGGGTAATACTTCACACTGTATAGGTGCAGCAAAACATGTTGTACATGTCAGATACTCAATTTTTACAACTTTTTATCAACTTTATATCAATATAGTTAAAAAAAAGATGAAAAGAAAGTATAGGGATAAGTGAAGTTTGATAGCCAAGAAGTAGGGCATGGAGCTGGGCATGGTGGCTCACACCCGTAATCCCAGCAGTCGGGAGGCTGAGGTGGGAGGATTGCAAGTTCAAGGCCAGCATGAACTACATAGTGAGACCCTGTCTCAAAAAAAAAAGCAGGGTGTGGGTCAGTGAGTGGAAAATTACTGAGCAAATATTAGATTTTGTGTTTTTAGATTGTTTTTGTTTTGTTTTGAGATATTGGGGAGTGAACACGGTCTTTGGACTGGGTTACCTTCTTGTTTTTACTTTTTTATTTTGAAACAGAGTCTTGCTTATCACTGGACTGGAACTTGTGATCCTTCTGACTCAGCCTCCCAAAGATCTGGAGTTTTAGGCATCCACTACACCCAGGGAGGTTTTTCTTTTAAGGGTTGCACTGGTGTTAATAGGTTTTTGGTAAAAAGATCACAGAGGTAAATGCCATTCTCATCAAGACTGTGGTGTAGAAATTCAAGATCACCGATAGCAAACTTCACCACCTGGTGAAACAGTGTTTTCCAGGCTTTTCTACTATAAAGTTACACACTAGCACTGTTCGTTTGGTTTTTTTGGGGTTTTTTGTTTTTTGGCTTTTTTTGGTAGCAGGGATCAAACTTGGGACCTTGCACTTCCGAGGCAGGTGGTGGCACTACTGAGCTAAATCCCCGGCCCCTAGCTCAGTGGTTTTTCTTTTGCTTGTGGTACAAGCTGCTCTCTATGCCAAAGGAAGGTTGTAAGTAGTCTTCAGTTTACAAATGGGTTCAGTATGACACTCATTCTCCAGCGGTTTGGAATTCTCTACCTTCCCAGAAATGGTGTTGCAAGTAAATAGTGGCTGAAATCGTAAAAGCCTATTTTGCCCACTATGTGACTTATTAGTAGTACAAAACTAATGCTAATCCAGTATCTAACCACAGCCTTCATGGGGAAATGGAACAGTCTAGATTAGGGCTTCTGGAATTTAAGCGTGTGCAACACTGAAATGGGGACATTGCTTAGCCAGTCCACTCCCGCAGGCCATCAGGCAGTGGAGAGTTAGGGCTCCCAAAGTTTAGAGCCTCTGGTGAAGACTTTGTAGCCCAGTAGGAGACAGCTGGAAACTGGTACTAAGAGCTAGATGGGTGCCTGAAGAAGGTAAGGAGGCCAGGGCTACTTCCCACTCCCCAAGTAGCACCTTCTTCATGGCATTGCACCTTTCTTTACATTTAATTCATAGCTCCCAAAAGTGCCCTGTCAGCTTGCTTTTCTGGGAGTTATCGGCATCACTGTTTTTTGTTTTCTTTTTGTACCGGAGATTGAACCCAAGGCCTTTATACTCAACTATATCATCATCTGCATTTTTTAAAAAAGATAAGGCCTTACTACGTCATTAAGTTACCCAAGCTTGAACTTGTTATCCTTCTGGCTCAGGCTCCCAGAGTGACAGGATTACAGTACAGAGGTGTGCACCACACCTGGCGCTGTGATGGTCAAAACCCTTGTTTTGAGTTGGACTTCCCAACCAAAAACGTTCTCCTTGCTTTTTAGCTCTCGGAAGGGATCTATGTAGCAAGCACTATACTTTTTACTTAAGTACTTTTTTTTTTTTTGGTACTGGGGATCAAACTCAGAACCTTGAGCTTTCAAGGCAGGTGGCAGCACCACTGAGCTAAATCCTGGCCTACTTAGTAGTCTCTTAATGAGTTTGGTTTATCAAACTATCCAAAAAATAAAGTGAAAATGCATTTTATATGCTTCTAATTTTAATGTTGGCAACAATATTAATGCAGCTAGCTTAAAAATCCTAGCACCCACAATTTAGAAATAACCTAAGGTAATTCAGGTAATGACCTATATTTTACTTTTTGGTATTCGTTAGAATATGGGTTGCCACCAGAATTAAGAATTGAACTTTAAAAGGCCCAAATCATTGGGATTGAGCTTAGTCTTTCTCTTTTGTGTCTTCTGCTTCCTAGGCCTTTTTTCCCACTCTGCCATTACTTGCCCCTGCCGCTTGCCCAGCTCCTCCTTCCTCCTTAATCCCACTCCTTCTGTGACCCCCTCATTAGTTACCCACAGTTAGTCCCCTGTAAGACCTTCCTTGAAGGTCATTGAGGATACTGACAATGACCCAAAGTACATGCTTGATTCTGAGCATTTGATGCCACTGGGGTCCTTCCCAAAAGAAGTCATCTGTATCAGGCTGGTATCCTTCAGAACCCAAAAGTTGGGGTTGGGCGTAGCTCAGTATAGAGCCCAGCATGCACAAGACATTGGGTTGAGTCCACAGCGCTGCAAAATATAACATAAACCCTATGCTCCTCAGAAGTGCTCTCTAGCATGCAGGTCCCCTCCAAAGTGAGTTGTGAAGGCTGAGCCAGTACACGGCAGCCGCTCAGACCCCATTGGCCCAAATCTCTTCCTGCTCACTGCTCAAGAAGATGGGGACAGGCTAACAACTCTAACCATGCCTGTCTAGAAAAGGTTATGTTGGGAGCACCTGATTGTGTACTAGGAGATACAGTAATTTGCAGCTTCAGCATCTTTGAAGACTTATGAGTTTATGATTCTGAATGTGAAATGATGTCTTAAATTTGTACTTATTAATTATCTTCATTTCAAATACAACATACAGTGTGGGGAAGAGCTATGCACCAGTCCTGTTCTGGTTTTTAAAACTCTCTGTTTTGTCCCTCTGCTAGCCCCCTGCCTGTCCTGGAGCACCTGCCAAAGCACTGTCGGTCATCTTCACACCAACAACTCTCAACATGCTCTGAGGCAGAAGAGTGACTCATCCAAGACGTCCAAGTCGTGATCCCCAGAATCTGTGAATATGTTGCCTTATATGGGAAAGGAAGATTAAGGTTGCAGATAGAATCAGTGTTGCTGATCGGCTGGCTTTAAAATAGCATTATATTGAATTATCCTGGTGGGCACACTGTATAATCACAAAATTTTAAAACCAGCCTGGGCAAAAGAGCAAGACACTATCAAAAAAAAAAAAAAAAAAGTGGAAGAGAAGAAGATGTGAAAAAAGAGAGGGAAGATTGATGTGATTATGTTCAAGATAGAAGTGGCCATGAGTGGGCAGAAAAAGTAAAGATGGAGATTCACCCCTAAAGTCTCCAAAAAAAAGGAACATGGTTTGACTGATTCATAGATTTTAGCCCAGAAGAGCTCTGTAAGGTGTCTGATCAGCAGAGCTGTAAGATGGAGCATTTCCTGGCTTCTCTGAGGGGAAACCTTATGTCTTCCCTTTTTTGAGCTTCCTAGCAGTATGGTATTTGGGTTTTTTCCTCTTTTTTATGGTAGCACTGGGGATGGAACCCAGGACCTTCTCACTGAGGTACATTCTCATGCCTTTTTATTTTTTATTTTGAGGCAGACTCTCACTAAGTTCATATGTTGCCCTGGCTAGACTCCAATTTGTGGTTCTCCTGCTTCACCTTCCAGAGTGCTGGAATTATGGTATATGTCTGCATGCCTGTTTCTGGCAGTGCATTGTAACTGTCCCGAGAGTAAAGTCACTGTGTTATTGACCCCTGTGCCTAGTATGCTGGCTCACCAAAGCCAGGCTCCAGAAAACACTTGAGGATTTATTGCACTCACACTGCAATCAGTTGTCCTGCTGTATGGTTCTCTCATGGTGGGTCAGAGTTGTAGCTCATGAAAACCTGGGAAAGAAAGGATTTTGGAGGCCTACATATAGAACGTATAATTCTTTTCTTCAGAAGCAAAGGAATTAGAAAATGTAAAACCCATTGTGAGCATCTCCCCTGGCATAGAATCCCATCTGGTGTTGATATAGAGCACCAAGTAATCCAAATAAGAGAAATATTATTACTGTCAACCTGCTGGCTATCCAAAATGTGAGTTCATGTTCTCTAAACAAAGAGTGAATTCTAGGAACAGTGGAGGTTAAGAGTAGGAAAAATTTATTGAGAGAAAGATAGCTTTTGTTTAAGAGATAGCAGGGGGACTGGAAAGTGAGTTGCCCACCCACTCCACTTCTCAAAGGTTCTTTATGGGGCAAAGCCACGAGGTGAGGTGGGTACAAAGTGGTACAAAATTGTAAGATCCAATGGAAAATCGCAAGGTAGGAATGAGGTGGGACGAAACCATGATCAATCAATAAGATTACAAGTACAGTCACCCAGGTAATATTGATTAACTGAGGATGAGGGGGGAAAGCTACTCACCTAGTAAGAGTGCATGGATTTTCCGGAAGGAATGGACTAGCTAGGGATGTTTTGGTCCCCAATTAAGGTGATTGATGTCTATTTAGGATATCAGTCCCTGCCCTTCATCTCTAGGGGAAGTATGTGGGTGTAGTAGTTTCTCTCTTTTTAATGTTAACCTTTAGTGAGTGTGCCGCAGTTGTTTTCTGTGCTGAGGGCCCAGCCCTGCTCCACCGTCCTTTTCTTTCTCTTAATTTTATTGGTACATTTTAGGCATACAATACAGTTACATTCATCATTGGAAATTTGCACCTTTCCATAATCTCTCTTGGTTCTTATTTTTCCCCCATTCCCCTGCCCTCCCTTCAACCCCTCCATTCCTCCCTATTTACAGACTTTGTTTCCATTTTTTATTTTCTCATATTGATTCCATTTCCTTCTTTCCTTTCCCCTACCCCTCCCACTTCCCCTTCCCCTTTGCCCCTTTTCTTCCTATTTCACATTATCTATTATACCTTTTAGTCCTTACTTACACTTTCAGTTTCTCACACTAGAGAGACTATTCGGTATTTACACATGTGTGTCCTATTTATTTCACTTGAGAGTATCCCCTCAATGTGCATCCATTTAGCAATAAATGTCTGTAATTTCTCATTTTTTAATGGCTGAGTAGTACTCCATTTTATTTTAAAAACACAGTTTCTTCATCCAGTCTCCAGTTGATGGGCAATTGGGCTGCTTCCAAATATGGCTATTATAAATTGTGCTGCTGTGAACATGGGCGCTCATATATTACCAGCTGTCTCAATATTTTCTAATTTAGCTGTGTGCAGTAGTGTGATGCTGACAATGCCTGGGTGTCTTGAGGTTCTCAAGGGCAAAACCCGTGGGGATCCCACCTATACTGCCAGTTTGCTCAGTGGTTCCACCTCCCCTGGGAAGGACCTGTGAAAGATAGCTGCTCAGGCTTCTCCAAAGGGTATGTGAAGGTGTCTGTGTGAGGTATCTGTGCCCTCCCGTTTCTGGAGAGAAGCCTGGGTGAAGTCTCCATGGGGACTACAGTGTTCCCTTGTGAGCTCTGTGGAGTCTCCCGGGAGCTTCTGTGTGAGGTCTCCACAGGAGGACTCTGTGGGGTGGGAGAGCTCTGTATGGGCTGTGTTGTGGTGTCTGTGTGGGAGGCATCTCTGTCAGGTCTCTGAGGGAAGCCCCTTGTGAAAGCTGTGCACTGGGTTTCTATGTGACAGCCTGTGGGGCAGCACAGATCCCTGTGAGAAGTCTGTGTGCAGGCTCTGTGGAAGCTGTGGGCTCGTGGGGCAGTGGGAAGGCTGTGTCCCGTGAGGTCTCTGACAGAGGTTCCTGCTTTTGAGCCCTGTGGACCAATGTGATGTGTCTACCAAGGGCTAAGTTAGGTCTCTGTGGGCAATGTAAGCATGGTGTCTGTGGGAGGGCTCTGCGGCAAGGCTGTGAAGAGTCTGAGGGTTCTCTGTGAGGTTTCTGCAATGATTGAGAACAACCTGAAGAATCTGTGGGGTCTCTGTGCAGACCAAGAGGACTCTCCGGGGGAGGGTCTCTGTCCCTGTTCCCCTTGTCTGGATAATCTGCGGTTGGTGTAGGATGCTTGGCCCCAGGATTGAGGCCCCGGGGCCATGCCTGTGGCTGCCCAGTGGGCCACACAGCGCAGGAAATGCTCTCTGGAGAAGTGGCTGCTCCTCTCCCTGCCCCTTGAGCCCCTCTGCTTTTCCATGAGGACCAGAGCCCACCGGAAGGGAAACATATGCTAGAAGCTGAGTGCTCTCCTCCTGGACTGGCCCTTCCTCCAGGCATTTGGACAGGTCACTTCCAGCCTCCTCGTGGCACAAACCCTGTGTGACCGCGTCTCCCCTGTGGGCTCTGGGCTAAGCAAGGGCTGGGAGCCAGGCAAGACTTGCTGTGTGACCCCAGGGCAGGCTCTGGACCCTTCTGAGTCCCTCCTCTCCTCTAGGGACAGGCTTGGCGCTGCATACATATGTACAGGTCACCAGACTTTGAGTCACATCTCAGGTTCCCTTGCTCTATCTTCTCCACCATTGTCATTTCATCCTTTCTGCAAGAGGTGAACATATACCAGTTACCCAGTGTATTGATAAGAAATCAGTCTTTGCTAACATGCTCTGCCTCCTCTCAAATCTGGCCCTCTGTGTGGGAGCTGAAGGTGGCTTCTCTGGGTCTGGGATCTGGAGCAGGTAGGGCCCTGTGGTGGGGCCAGGGTGAGCCACTTGGCCCGTAATGTCCCCTCCTGTCTGCTGGTGGATGACAGTGGAACCTGGGGAGCGCCCCATTCCCTTCACCATCCTTGTGCCACTCTGCTTCCTGCCTGGCTCCAGCATTTTCAATCCTCCTCCCACATCTCCCTGTTCCCAGTGCCTGTCCATCAGTTACTGTGCAGGCACAGCCCTGGTGCCTCCACCGAGAACCGCTAAGTGGAGTCGCAGGATGGACCAGGATAAATGAGCCGTGAGCAGGACCATTAGTTCACCCATGAGGAGGGCCTCCCTGACCACCACTAGGCACGGCCCCCGCCAGCTGGATTTTCTGTCCTCATTGCTGCTCTAGTGTGAGGAGGGCCAAGGCTCTGGGATGGGGACTCTGAACTTTCCATCAAAGCTGAACCCAGAAGGTCCCTCTCCGTCCAGGCCTTTGCCAGGGAGAGGAGGGGCTTCCCAAGGGTAGACATCATCTGTCCCCCACCGGGAGATCAAGGGCAAGATTTCTCCCACTTCTGAACTCAGGGCCCAGCATCCTCACATGCAAACTGCCACCCATTTTGGGAGCAGTGGAGCTACGTGACTCTGACCCTTGTGGAACCTGTGGGGGAATTTTCAACTTAAAATGTCTCTGTGTCCCTGGTCCTACCGCTACCATAAGGTAGGGGAGCAGGGAGCAGTGGAAAGATGGGTTGAACCAGATCCTGGGGTTGGAGGGTTGTCACTGGTTTTCCCCGGCTTGTTTTTAGAGTTTTTGTTCCTGTAACGATGGAAGCAAGGATCGGTGAAGGAACTAAGGATGAAGGTGGGCTTGTACCCCTCTGTCACCTCCACCACACAGCTCCCTTCTAGACACCAGAGCCCACACCAAGCACAGAGCAGACAGGAGCCATTTCTCTTAGGAGGAAACATAGGTGTTTTTTGGGTACAGTAAATATCTTGGATGCATAACATGAGAAAAATCATTTTCCTCTTCATAACTTAAGTATTTTCCTGGACCTGTGTTTTCCTAGGGAAGACTGGAGAGAAATTTCTCTGTTGTCCAGTCAAGACACCTCTCTGAAGACCATGCCTTGGACAGTAATGCTGTTGGCCTGGTGCCCTGGACACTGTTGGGCCACCCTGGGAGGGGCTGACTAGGGACCCAGCCTTGATGGGGAAGGAGGGTTGGGGATGCCTCTGGCCCTGCTGCTCACTGTTGAGCTGTCCAGTTTTCAAGAGCTCTTGGGCACGGGGGCGCCTCTCCCTGGTAGGACAGCTGTGGCACTTGGGGGTGGCTGCATGTCCTGGCTTTCTCCTGTGCACTGAGGAGCAGGAAACCTGGGAGATTGGGGTGTGACCTTCTTCCTCTTTGTGCCGATTGAACTTCAGGGCACAGAGTTCATGCTGAAGCATCATTTTGGCTTCTAATGTCTGCCCAGTTGTTGTCATGAGGTGCTGGGCCTCATCAGTGTTGTGGTCCACACGAGGTCTGTTTTTGGCTGGTCTCTGACTCTGGGCCTTGGCAGGTGCAGGCTTGCCATTTTTCTGGGTGTCTTCCTGCCCTTTGATTTCTTTCTTAGGTAAAGCCCACTATAGAAATGTCTTCATGCTTCTTTGGAAGTAGCCTTCTGAGGGGACTGGTTTCTTTTGTGGGAGCTGAAGGTGTTTACTCTCTAAGGTGTCTTTTGTTCCCCCATCCTGGGTGGGCTCAGAGGCCCCCAAGTCTCCCAACCTGTCTTCATGTTTTCCTGAGCTGGGGCTCCTACCAACCTCCTGCTTGTCAGCAGGGACAAATGTCTTGTTTTGACTCTTCAATGAGTGCTGATGTTTCAGGATCCTGGGCTTCTGCTGCCCCAGGCTGCTCCCTCTGCCTGCGTTAGGTCACCTAACAGCTGTGAAGCTGGCATGTCCCCTAGAGGCATGCTGTGGTGATGGCAGTGGGACACCACAGATGCCCAACAGTGTGAAGCACAGAGAATGTCAGTGGAAGAGTCTGGAAGGTGGGCGCCTGAGACACAGACTTGAGAATTGGTCACTGATTTGACCTCTACTCCGTGCTGAAACTTGTTCCCAGTGTCTGCCCAAAGGCCTGGCTCTCCTGCCTCTTGGATGACACATATTCCAGGAAGCAAGGGGACTTCTGGGCTGCCTCTGCCACCCCTTTGGGTGGTCCTGCTCTCACGGGTTCTGCCCATGAGGCTGGATGTGAGTTGCTGTGAAGGCCCCTCGCTGTCCTGTCTAGTGAGGGGGTCCTCTGAGGACCCCTGGCCATCACCAAGAGGGATCCCTGTCAGGGCCCTCTCGGTCTCCTTACCCAAAAGAGAGGAGACAAGGAGACTGCCCAGTGTGGGGACAGACTGCCTGACTGTCGCCTCCTCTCCCGGACATCCCTGAGGTGGTTTTCCCAGGAACTTGGCATCATCCTCCACTGTCAAGTCGGCCCAGGACACACCGCCAGAGGAGGAGGGACGGGCACACTGTGGAAAGGGTGAGGGCGCAGCCTTTGTAGACTTAAAGACATTTACGGCCTTGAGGAGCTTGAGGGGGAGGCCCCACCTGTGCCTCACCCTACGCCTTGTAATGTGCATCTCCAGGTCCTGCTGAGTGTGTGGATTGGAGAAAAACTTCTGGATAGTGCTCACACAGGTTTCCTGACCCCTGGAGGATGCTGGATTTCTGGTTTCCATGTGGGTGTGAGACGTGGAAATGACACCATTGACAGTGAGCCAAGACCGGCGCACTCTCAGAGGGATCAGCCCCTCGTGGATCTGGCACATCTTCACACCCAAATGTGGTTTCAGCATGCCTTCTAGATGTGTCTTATCTCTGCTTCCGAATGAGTCATTTCTTGTGTCACTGTCTATGGGCCACATCAGGTTTCTCTCTGACTCCTCAGCGGTCACCCCCAGAACCTTCACTGGGGACCTTCCTAGGGCCCTGGAGAGATCTTTGGGGTCCTTGCCTAGAATATGCCCCACATTCTTGCCTGAGTCCCTCCTCAGCTAGAACCTCATCTTCTGCACATCCTTGCTGCATTCACCTGTAGACACAGACGAATGTGAGAGCCCGGGTTTGTCCTTTACCTGAGGTGAATGAGCTAAGTCACACTGAGGCTGTGTGAGTTCTGGAGACTCCTGGATCCTGCAGGGCAGGTCTCGCTGGTGTCGAACGTGCCACTTTCGAATGTGTTGCTCTAGTTTTTCCCAGAGCTCAGAGCTGATTGCGAAACTCTCACAAAGGATGGCAGCAGCACCCTTGCCTTGGCAAAGGTTGGGAGTGGAGGGACAGTAACCCTCCTGAGGGCTTTGGACTGCTGAGGGAACAGTCCGCCCGTGTTCTAGGTGTTTCTTCGACGAGGGCCTTCCTGGGTGTTGAATTTCATCTGGGATGAGTGAGTGTAGGTTATGGGATGTAGAACAGGATGCTCCACAGCCCCTACTGAGGGGCGGAGAGGGTGCTAACAGGACAGGGGGAGAGGATTGGGGGTGGGTCCGAGTCTGGGGCTGACCCAGAGCTGGGGGCTGGGATTGGGATGGGCATCGGGACTCTAGACAGGATGGGGCCTGGGGCAGGGGAAGCAGCGGGAACATTTTATCCTGCATGTGAACTGGGCAAACATGTGAGGTTCTGTTGAATAAGAAGGTGGGAAGGTGTGGAACGGGAGGGTTCTGAGAGACCCAGGCAGCAGCCACTATGGATTCACTATGCAGAGAGGGCAGACCCCAGAAAAGCTGGGTCCATTTCTGCCAAAAGTGGGCCCCCAGGATCTTGGGATATGAGAGTTGCTGAGGACCGAGCTGCTGTTCTGGCTTCTCTTTTGTGTCCCACCAGGGTTGTGGGGTTGTGGCAGGATCTGGGGGACGTGGTGGGGAAAGGGAAAGTGCAAGTGGCTGGGGTGAAAGTCTTCCCAGGGGAAGCAGGGGCTCTGGGGTTTGAGAGTTGGTAAGGGGTGTGGGTGAACACACAAAATCGGAGGAGGTTGCTGATGGGCCTGGTGATGGAGAAGAGGCCAGAGGTAGAAGGTGTGGAGTGAGAGGAGAGGGGGCTGCCTCTACCAGGGATGGAGCAGCAGGGTCTGCTTTCTGCCCATGTGGCTGTGAGGCTGTGACAGGTATTCTGGTACCCGCATCAGCAGGGTGGTGTTGGTATACGGGCTGTTGAGAGCTTACTTGGCCAGGGAGCAGCCTCTGCAAGCTGTAATAAATAGGAGTTGTAACTGTAGCTAGGGGTTGGGTTGAGCTCAGTTGGGCCCTGGCCCTTCCACTAGCCCATACCCCGACTCTAGTTTTCCTGCTGCTCCTCACCCCAGGGTCTTAACATCCCCCACTCCCAGGATCTCCCTCTCCCAGGTTACACCAATGCTGCTTTGTGACATCACAGGCCTTAGAAGGAAAGAAGAAAGGACAGATTTATTTACCTTTTCTGAAGGGGAATTAGCTTCTTAGCCAACTTCTGGTAAATCTGGTAGTCTGCAAAAGGTGGGAAGTGGGAAACTAGGTTATAAAGGATGAAGGGTGAAGAAGGGATTGGGATTTTACAGGAGGCTGAAGGGAATGTCCCCTTAGAGGACACCGTTGGAGGTCTGACTCCAGAGCTCAAGCATCGGTGTCCAATGCCCTCCGGCCCTGGCTGACAGTGGTTGCATAGTACACAGATGGGCAGCGCTTTGTCAGTACAAAGTGCTTCCACATCCTTCAACATTCACGGTCCCCACAACTGTGCTGTGCTGGACGGATGGGGTCATCTCACGAAGGAATCAGCCTCTGCCAATTTTAACAGCTGGGCCTCAGTTGGACTTGGAGGTCCCATTTCCAAATCCAGGCTGTACTGCTCCTCTGCTGCCTGCACTGCCCCCTACTGGACAAAACCCTTCTTTGTCCCAGCACAGCTCCATTCTGAGCAGGGAGCCTGAGAAGCATCCCCCCTCCTGATTGCCATTCCAGGAGCCCCTCTCTCAGGGCTCTGGAGCTGACAACCTTGGAGTCCTGGTGTTGGTCCCTGAGGGATAAGCAAGGTCATGTTAATTCTGGGACTGCAGGACTGAAAGGCAGAGCCTTACCTAGGCGAGCACCTGTCCTCTTCCTACTCCTGCTCTTCCACCTCATCAGCACTGGATGCTGAGAAAGAAGAAAAATAGTGAGAGGCTCAGTCTGGATTCTCCTCTCTCAGTCAAGCTGCAGACATTCAGTATTCATGAATATTATGCTACTCAACAGTGAATTAAGGAACCTGTGTTTTTTCTTTCCTTTTACTCATTTTTAAAATTACAATATTTTTTCTGTCCTTCTTGTAGAAACCCAGCAACTTTCTAACATGAGATCCCCTATAAGAGGTCTTTGATCCTCTGCTCAAAAAACAAACTCACTTCTACAGGTGCATCGCACCTGCTAGAGACCTCAGAGGCAGCTGTAGCCTAGGATGGGGCTGGACTCAGGCCCTCAGCACAGCCCCTGATTCAGCCCAGCACAGAGCAAAGGCTGGGCCCTGAGACACCTGCCATGAGACTGGGACAATGAAGCAGTGCTCAGGGCCTGGCCCGCCCCATAGATCCCCAACTCTCAGGAATCCAGTCCTTGTCCACTGAGTTACTGTGTTCTCCTTCACCCTGGCCAGCAAACCACCCAGAGATCTGAGATTGTCAGACAGATGTCCCGGTGCCCACTTTGCCTGCCCTGGCCTGCCTGTCCCAGAGGAAGGATATTGTGTTCTTGTCTGAGTTTTCCCTCTCACCAGTCTGTCTGCTTGACTCAGAAAAGTGGAAACTGTGGTAAAAGGAGAGAGAATTATTCTCTGCTGGCTCTGGGCTGAGAGTTTCTTACCTTTCTGATGTTTCTAGTTTTCCTCGATGGTGATGGCCGTAAGGTTGGTTCACCCTGGAGCCAGGGCAGTAACAAAAGGAAGAGCCCCACTCCACCCACAAAGGCGAGGATCATATCCATCGCAAAGGCAGTGTGGCTGGGGCTCAGCCATGTGGCGCTAAGGCTTTTCAGAGGACCGAGAAGATTCTCCATCATCTGAATCGCAGTGTTGCTCTCAGGCAACTGAGCCCTGAGAGTTCTCTCCGGGGGTAGGGAGGAGGGCCCAGGCCTGCATCACAGAGCTGTGTCCTCCTCATCATAAAGGGCTCCTGGGGTGGGGGAGGGGCGAGGAGAAGAGGCTCAGCCACAGTCCCTCCCCTCCCCCAGGCTCCAGGACAGTGGGTGCTGCAGCCTCCTGGGCTTTCTGGACCCCTCCTTCTGCCTCCACCTGCCCAACCTGTCAGAGATAGACCATAGTCTATTTTCTATTCGTTCCTCCTGGGACACAGGTATTACCTGGCTCTTTGATCCAGTTGAGATCCTGGCTGATGCTAACACGTCAATGATATTTTTTAAAGTTCATAACATTTATAATTCTTAAACTGCACAAAGTGTTCTTAATCACCATATCCACACACACACACACACACACACACACACACACACAGACAGAGATACATATAATCCCTATATCCTTTCACAAACCAATCTAATATTTTTAACAAAACAATGTAATATTCAGTTCCATCCTTTTCTCATTAGTAGCAGGCAAAGGCCAAACAAAACTACAATGAGATACTATCTCACCGTAGTTAAAATGGCTATAGATATTTCTTTTAAAAAATGCTAGCAAAGGGCCAGGGATTTAGCTCAGTGGTTCCACCGCCTGCCTCGCAAGTGCAAGGTCCCAGGTTCGATCCCCGTCACCAAAAAAAAAAATAGAAAAAGCAAAAAATGCTAACAAGGATGTGGAGCATGGGAAACTCATACAGCATTGATGGGAATGGGAAGTAGTGCAGGCATTGTGGAGAGCAGCGTGGAGGTTCCTCATAAAACTAAAAATAGGTCTACTGTGTGATCCAGGTATTCCACTTCTGGGAATATATCCAAAGGAGATGCAGTCAGCACACCAAAGGGACACCTGTGTGCCCATGTTCATCCAGCACTACCCACAATAGCTAAGATGTTAAATCGACCTAGGTGCTCATCAACTGGTGAATGGAAAAAGTGAGGAATACATACACTATTCAGGTATAAAGAAGAATGAGACCCTGTTGTTTGCACCAAGGATGGAGCTGGGGGTTATGTTACATGAAATAAGGCAGGTGCAGAAAGACAAGTACTACTAAGTTCTCTCTCCTATGGAAGTTTAAGGAAAGTGAAGCTGAATGTAGGGGAGTGGTTGTCAGAGGTTGAAAAGGGGTATGTGGATGAAAAAAGAATGTAAGAATGGGGATGTGATCAGTGAGTGCTGTATATGTGCATTGAAATGCCACCCTGAACCCTGTTAATATGTACAATTAATATTTTTAATAAAAGGACTTTGATTCTTACAGTACCTTTTGTTTGACTTTTTATCATGGTAATGCTGACCTCATAAAATAAGTTTGAAAGTACTCCTTCTTCCTCTCCAGTGTTTGCAAGTTTGGGAAGAGTGTTACTCTCCTCGAAAGGTTTGGTGGAATTCCCACAAAAGCCATCTGGTCTTGGACTGCTCTGTGTTAGGAGGAGGTTCATGATTGCTGATTTAGTTTCCCTATTCATTACTGATCTGTTCCGATTTTCTGTTTCTTCCTGTTTCATATGTTTCTAGGAGCTTTTTCATCTCCCCTAGGCTCCCCAGCTTGTTCGTGTATAATTGCTCATGGTAGACTCTCATGACCCTTGTATTTGTGTGGCATCAGTTGTTCGGCTTCCTGTTTTCTTTGCCAATTTTATTTATTTGTCTTTTTTTCCAAGTCTAGCTAAAAGTTTATAAATTTTTGAATAAGCCAGCAATTTTTTTGGTTCTTTCTGTTGCTTTCTAGACTCCAGTCCATCTTTCTGCTCTGATATTTGGTATTTAATTGTCTTATTATGGACTTTCTTGTTTGAAGTGTAAAGTTCGGTCATTTGGGATCCTTTTTCTTCACACAGACGTTTATCTGTATAAATGTCCCTCTTAGAACGGCTTTTGCTGCATTCCATAAGGTTTAGTATGTTGGTTTCCATTTTTGTTTTTTGTCCCAAGATACTTTTATCTTCCTTTTGATTTCTGCTTTGACTTATGGGTTGTTCGTGAGTATGCTTTTTAATGTCTGTGTATTTGCAAATTTCTCAGATTTTCTTTGGTTGATTCCTAGTTTTTTCCTCTGTGAAAACAAAAGGTGTGTTATAATATTTCAGTCTTCAGGAACTTCTTAAGACTAACATATGTGACCGGTATTGGATAATATTCTGTGTGTAGTTAAAAAGAATTTGAATTTTGCTGCTGTTGGATAGAATGGTCTGTAAAGATCTATAGTGTACTTCAAGTCTGTTGTTTCCCTATTGGTTTTCTGTCTGGATGATCTATCCTTTGTTGAAAGTGAGGTAGTCTGCTCCCATTATTGTATTGCTATCTATTTCTCCCTCCTGATCTGATAATAATAATATTTGCTTTAGATATCTAGGTGCTTCGATGTTGGATGCATATGTATTTACAATTGTTATAGATTCCTGATGAGTTCACCTTGTACCATTATGGAATGATTTTCTTCATCACTTGCTACAGTTTTTTACTTAAATTCTGTTTGTTAGGTATAACTCTTTGGTTTTGGCTCCATCCAGTCAATTTCAGTCTGTGTGTTGCCATAAAAGTAAAGCGAGACTCTTGTAGGCAGCATAGCCTTGGGTCTTGTTTTATCTGTTCAGCCATTTTTCCAGTATTGGGACCAAACCTAGGGCCTCACACATGCTAGGCAAGCACTCTGTCTACCACTGAGCTACATCCTAGCCTTCTTTCATTTATTTTGAAGCACGGTCTCGCTAAGTTGCCAAGGCTGTCTTTGAATGTGTGATCTTCTGCCTTGACCTGTAGGTAGCTAGGATTACAGATGTTACCACCACTCTGGCTCACCCTGTATCTTTCCATTGACAAATTTAATTAATTAACCTTTAATTGTTGATAGGTAAGAACTTCCTATGGCCCCATCAGTTGTCTTCTGGATGTTTTGTAATCCTTTCATTCCTTTATTCCTCTCTTTCTGCCTTTAGGGATTGGATGACTTTCTGTAGTGGTATGCTTTCATTCTTTTCTGTATTTTTTGTGTATGTACTACATATTTTTCCTTTGTGATTATAAAGGTGTAAAAGTAGGATACAGGACATAGAAATTCTCCCTGTTTGCTCTTCCCAGCTTTTAATGCTTTATGATGTCACAATTTATATTGTTTTATATTGCATATCAGCTAGCAAATTATTATAGATATGCTTAACATTTTTGTGTTTTAATCCTTATACCATAGTTAAAAGTGACATTTATAACCCACCATTATGATATTTGAGTACTGAACTTTGAAGTTGGTGATATGCTTACCTTTGATTTCTGTCCTTACCTATAGCTTCATGTTACTAATTAGTATAATTTCATTTCCGGTTAAATACTCCCTTTAGCATATCTTATAAGGTCACATATAGGGTGGTAGGAAATATTTGCAAACTTGATGTCCACTAAGGGGTTAATATCCAAAGTACGTTGAGCACTTCTACAGCTCCAAAAGATCTGAATAGACACTTGTCTAAAAAGATATAGGCATGGGGCCAGGGATTTAGCTCAGTGGTGCCACCGCCTGCCTCACAAGCGCAAGGTTCTGAGTTCAATCCCCAGTACTAAAGATATAGGCATGGTCAGTAGATACATAAAAAGATGCTCAACATCATCAGTCATCAGGGAAATTGCAAATCAAAAGCACAATAAGGTATCATCTCACGCCTATTAGTATGGCTGTTGTTTTTTTGTTGTCGTTGTTTGTTCGTTTGTTTGTTTGGTACCATTGGTTGAATGAACTGGGGATCTTGTGCTTTCGAGGCAGGCAACAGAACCACTGAGCTAAATCCCCGACCTAGGATGGCTGTTATTAAAAATCAAAGGTAACAAATGTTGGCAGACTTGTTGAGCACATGGTTGGTGTGAATGTAAATTAGTGTTCCAATTGAGAAATGCGATATGGAAGCTTCTCAGAAATTAAAATGGAAACTATCATGAGGTCCACCAATCCAGTTTCTGCATATAAATCCTATAGAATTCAAATCAAGAGTTTGAAGAGATATTTGCATTCCTGTAGACAAGATACGGAAATAACCTAAATGTCCATGGACAGATGAATGGTTAAATGAAATATAATAGATGATGGAGTTTCATTCATCCGTAAAAAGAAGAAAATACTTTCATTTGGGACAGCGTGGATGACCTGGAGGATATTATGCTAAATTAAATAATCCAGGCATAGAAATACAGCAAGCACAATGTAAGAGAATAGAGTGATGGTTACCAGGGGCAGGCTGGAGGGTGGAGGAAAAAGGAGCAGTTTGTCAAAGAGTACAATCTTTTAGTTATGCTACGAGTAAGTTCTTGAGATCCAATTTAGAAAATGGTGACTGAGGTCGATAATAATGTACTTGAAATTTGAAACTTGCTGAGAGTAGTTCTCACCAGATACTCAAAAAGGTAACTAGGTGAGGTGATCAAGATCTTAGCTTGATTATGGTAATTACTTCACAATGCATATTTAAAATATCACTCTGCACACATTAAATATATATAATTTTTATTTGTTGTTGACCATCATAAAGCCTGCAAAAAATCTTTCATGTTGTCTTGACTCAATTTTTTATTTTGTGACAATAAATGTAGTGCACACTGTTTGCATGAGCTTTGAAGTTTGTGCTATACCCGGAAGCCAAGAACTGGGTAGAGTGAGTGAAGTTACTGATTCTCTCTCAGGGTAGTTAGGGTGGAGGCTGAGATGAGTTCAAGGCTTGGGCCGAGTCTGATCTTGAGCAGCCCCTTCTGATAGCCCCTGTGTGATCAGTGCACATTCTTTTTTTTTTTTAATGTTCCTTTCCTTCTCCCTTCCACTCCAGAGCCCTGGAGACTCCAGCTTCCCTTGACTGTGTAGACAGGGAGCGTTAAGTCCGGTACATTTTTTTATGACTCTTCTGCATCCCCTTGTGGCAGTGACTCCGGAGCCACCTGGGGATTCACCTGGTACCTTGTCTTAATGCTGTATGTGGGCTGACAAATCAATGGAGCCTCTGCTTGTTGGTCCTAATGTTTTTACACAGCTTTAATGAGAATGGGGGCCCTTGGGTTTAGCGGGCTGTATAGTCACAAGTGTGCATGTTCATTAGAACATCTTTGTCTATGATTTCTTCAATCTACAGTCTTTTCCTCTTTCAGGATATAGGCACCTTGAATTCAGTCTTTTATTAAAAAGTAGAGCCAGATTTTTTATTCATATTTACCTGCTATATTTTCTCCATGACTTTATTTCCAATGTGTGTTTTTTTTACCCTTAGGGTTTTTGACATTTACAGATATTACAATAATCCTTACCTTTGTTTTATTTAATCATTGTTATGACAAT